GCAATGGTGCAACAGTGGGATGCAAGAGTGCATGTTTAGCTTTGAACCAACCTCAGTATTGTTGTACCGGTGCTTTTGGCACACCCCAGACCTGCCCACCAACTCAATATTCCAAAATTTTTAAAGAAATGTGTCCACAAGCATACAGTTACGCATATGATGATAAAACGAGCACTTTCACATGTCAGAATGGACAAGCCAACTACGCAATCACCTTCTGTCCATGAATACAAAAGCACACAAACATAAATTGTAATTCATTTTATCCTAATAAAAATGAGTGGTCGATATATTATATCATAGATGACATGTAGTTTGGACATACTTTATCAGAAGGCTCAGTATTTTAGTTTTTCATAGCGAGACTGTGTTATTCCATCTTTGAGTGTCAATTATTATTATTATTATTATTATTATTATTATTATTATTATTATTATTATTATTATAAGATAACAATAATATTGATAGTATGTGTATTCGTCTTTTAGTATCTTACTCTTGTATGATCTAGTATAAGATTGAAAAAAGTCCTATTAAAAATTATTGTGCATTAAATAAAAAAGAATGACAAAAATTCAAATACCCTTATAGGAGCGATATAAATTCAAATGTCCATCATATATATATTCATGAAAGTGTTAACAATAGGAATGACAAAAATATCGTTCATATGATATAGTTACTCGTATGGTTATGACATGATAAAACAACCACTATCACATGTCAAAATGAACAAATTAATTACTCAATCACCTTTTTTCATTTATTCAAGCACACGCACAAGTCCAAATTGTGCGTTACAAGTTTATCCGCATAATAAAATAGAGTCATATATAGCAGACATACTTTATCATTAGGCTGATATATATAGTTTTTCCTATGAAGATCTGGTTATTGTTTGTCTATCGATTATTATAATTGAAAGATTTTAATACTATCCTCCGTCTCTTTTTAATCACAACATGTTGAATTTTACACTATTCACATATACTACTTTGACTACATTTTATATTATTATTTTATGAAAATTATTTTTTTTAAAAAAAATATTTCAATTTATCTCATTACAAATTTTCAAAATCTAATTTTTAAATATTTTTTACTAATAGAGATTAAGATATAATTACGGTCAAAGACGTGCGTTGGCAAGTGTGAAATGTTGACCGTTGCAACTAAAAAAGAACGGAGGAAGTAATATTGATAGTCATTCGGTCTTTCCTACCAGTGATTATCATAATCTATGATTGCATCGCAAAGCTGTACAATTTTACCACTACTTGTTTTGCACATGATATTCCATATAAAACAGATACAATGATACAGAGCAGTATAACTCATTCATCTTGTTTGTGAAGTTAATTACGTTGAAGACTAGGAATTTGAATGTTTATTAACATGTTTAATTTTAAGTTTCATGTCGTGCAAAAATAATTTTAAATTTTAATCCAATGTAAATAAAAAGTAGAAACAATTATATATTTATGAGTAAAATAAAGATCGTTTACAAAAATGTGACTAGTGACTATAGTAGTAATGAACTGATAGTAACATGTGTTTAGTTTTTAAACTTAAGTTACCATGACATTACATTGTAGTAACTATTAGTCATATTTTTGTAAATAGGTTTTATTTTGGTAATATTTTTGAAAAAAACCCATCCATATATTTATCCTATTTGTTGACTTTTATCCAAAAAAGGTTCAAACTTCATCTTTTTCAACAATTGTGCTTTTCTTTTTTCTTTTTTTTTTCAAAATTACACATTTTTATCAATACCAATAAGATATAAGCAATACAAGTTTGTGAACTTAAAACTAAAAAGAAGTGCAAAAATATGAAATATAGATATGATTTTCTTCGTAAATTTTACAAACTCATCCATTGAAAGTGTAATTGTGAAAAAATATGAAGTTTGAGTATTTGTTTAATAAAAGTGACGGCATAAGATAGATTTGTGAATTTGATTATAGTTTGAGATATATTTAATTAATAATCGTATATAATAACATATTACTACGTACAATTTATTTTTATTTTTTGTGGAAGAAGGTGGCTTAAATTTTGATAACAAAACATAAGCAGATTACAAAATGACAATAGGCCTTCTATCTGTCGTCCGCCTTAGAACCAGACCAATTAGAATCAATCACTTATGTAGAAGCAGTTAGATTTGTTAGTCCCGCTTTGGACTTAACTGAGCCAATGACTTGCAAATCAGACTTCTCATCACCTGTCCTAGGTTCTAGAGTTTTCTTGTTGGAAAAAACACGGCACAACCAAAAAAGAGTAAAGATCCAAATAAAAACGATACGTGAAGAAGTCTAAAGAAGCAAAATAAAATTCTTGAACCCTAGCACCTCATTCAATCCCTGGCGGGGAGGCCGGATCACCACTATGATTGTTGACGCAGAGTGGATCGAAGCATCAACCAATCGGAGTAGATTCCTCTTGCCCTGCCTCCCACCTGTCGTGCTCACTACCCAACCATCTTCGACGGGACATCTACCCTTTCAAATTAGCCCTCTTGTTCGTTGTTGCTCTCCTTCCATCACCTTGTTCTCGATTGGTGACTAGGAAGCCGCCCTCATCGATTGGTAAATGAGTCCGCACAGAACCATACCCGATTTGCGCCCTTAGCAATGTTCGGACACTTACTGCATGCGCCGTTGAAATCTGCTCCTAGATCACTCACTGCTACAAGAAGAAGGAAGGCCGGACCAGGTGACTGGCGTCATCACCAGGGACGGTTTTTCGGGGGGGGCATTGGACTTTCAATTTTTTCTACTATATATGTAGTATTTTCATAAAGTTTTCATACTTTAATTAGTTGTATATGTTTTCGCCCCCCTTAACTTTTAATTTTCAAAGTTAATATATAGTATGACATAGTGTGATACTTAATTGGGAATTTAAAAGAAGTAAAATCTAAAATAATTTAGATAGTTTAAGACATAGGATACCTATTATATAAAAATTTCTAGTTTTGCAATATTTAATTATCTTTATTAGATAATTAGTACTAAATTTTGTAAAAGTTCAAATGATATTAAATACCAGAAACACTAGTTAAACAGTTTATGGATCATGTGAAGTGAATCCAAAATATAAATGTTTGTGGACATTGAATTATACAATTCATTTAGTTCTTACTTTCTAAAAGCAATTTATTACATAAATAATAAACTTTAACGTATTTTAGCATTAATACAAATATAATATGCACCATATATATGAATTAACAATACTACGTACTACGTATAATATTATTCTAAAAATAATAACCTCATGCATACTATTGTTAAGAAAACTCCTCGTGACCCTTGAACACCCTTCTTGGTAGACAAAAACTACAATTCAAAAACCAATTATTTATTTTGATAAGATTCATGTGGTTAAACAAGACATAAGCTATTCAAAATGCATTGATTGATGTGTACCTTTTAAATTTTTTACCTTCAAATAATTTGACAAAACGTTAGGTATCTTTTTTTTATTTTCAAATAAATTTCCTTTGATTTGCAATTTATTATGCTTTATTGTATCAATACTTTTTTCTAAAGCATTTACGGTTACAAAATTAAAGTTATATTTTCCATTCTCTACACTTAGAGTGTAATACATTTAAATATCATAGTGTATACACTAATGAATTTTTTTGAATAAAAATTAGCCGCGGAGCCCTACAATAGTGAAAAAAAGTTGTCTCGTTACACTAGCGAAAAAAATTGCACCGCTACATTAGCGGAAAAAATTTGCCCGCTGCACTAGCGAAAAATTTCGCCTCCTACACTGACGAAAAAAAAATTGCCCCCCTTGAATCAAAATCCTGGATCCGTCCCTGACCGTCACTGTCGGAAGAAACACCTGGGAATTAACCCTAGAGACGGCCGTTGTAGGTTTCTCTCGGAACTAGGCTGAAAGATGAGTTAAATCACTTAAATGCTTAAATGTAACTCAAGGGAGATAAAATGAGCATACGTACAATTTATTTTTGAATATATTACTCATATATGCTATTTCTTTTTTGTTTTACGGGAAAATGGAAACTAATAATCCAACCTTTTAGCGGTCTTCTTACAATAATCCAACCTTTGCACCTCATCTTCATTCAATGGTCCCTGACCGGTTGATGACCTGCTATTCCAAGCTATTTTCTTATCTTTGCAAATCATTATACCATAAATTTCATCTTTCACAAAGATAATATTTTGCAAAGATGAGAAAATAACTTGGAATAGTAGGTCATTAACCGACCAGGGACCAATGAATGAAGATGAGGTGCAAAGGTTGGATTATTCGTGAATAATCAAAAGGTGTGATTATTGAAAGAAGACCGCTAAAATGTTGGATTATTAGTTTCCATTTTCCCTTTTTTTACTTGAGAGTTGAAATGATAATGGACATTTAACCCCCCCCCCCCCCCCCCCCCCTTTTTTTTTGAAATATTGTGGCATTTAACCCTAGAAAGTAATTGATGAATATATTTTTGATGCTATATTTACTCTTATATGCTATTTAACTTCATAATTGAACACATGTAACACTGTTATAATGAAAAATAAACAATGATCATGGGAGTTTTTCTACGGACAGATTGACAGAATGATAATGGACATTTAACCCTTAGAAAGTAATTGATGATAACATTTAAGTGTACTTTAAGGTATGTTTGGCACAACTAGTTAAAAAGATACTTTTCTCAAGTCTCGACCATGTTATATTCCTTAAATATTACTCCGTACTCCGTACTAATAAAAAGTTATGGAGAAAAATGTAACTTAATAATTATTAGTGATTATAATTGCATTCAAAGTTTACATCATAGTAACTTACATATAGTTGCTATGATGCAAATTTTAAAAACAATTAGTCGGTAACGGTTACTAAATCACTTTTTTGTCCATAACTTTTCAAGGAGTAATATTAGCAAGATTTTTACTTATATAGTGATATATATCAAAAAAATAGTTAACGATTCTTCTTTTTGCAACGTTTCAAAAAACATGTTCGGAGTGTAGTATATGTACAATTATTCGGGGAGTCTTGGTTATTATACAATATGCGATAGTACTCCGTCTGTACCATCTATTTTTATAAATCACAAAACAAAAAATAAGCCACTAGCAACCATCTTAACTGGGGGCCATTCATCGACCATTCTGCTATTGCTATTTCTAACTATTCATCTACTCACTATTACTAAACATATATACACATCAAACATTGAAGCTAAACTTGGCCACAAAGGTGAAAGAAGTATCATTCTTCCCTAATATTATCCTTCCTCTTCATATAATCCTGGAGCAACGTTTCCCTTTCTGATGAAGTTGCAGAGAGGATCCATTTGCTAAACTGCACCTCTTTCATGCCCATGAACTGGGCTATAAGACTGAACTGTCTTCTCTTATGCATTTTAACCTTATCAAAACTTTCTTTCTTCTCTTTTACGTTCATAGCATCAAATTTTCGTCTCCCAAGTACAGGAAAACTCAGCTGCTGTGTTGAATTCAGATTTTGTTCCTGAATGGTTGGGACTGCCACACTTCGGGGGTTAACGACATCTTCATTGCGGTGAGCATAAACAATGCCTACGAGCAGTCATAGTGAAATTTCTCAGTCAAGAGAGATCAGCATGACATACAACTTCTATTTTTGAAAGAATAAAAAAAACATTTACCAAGGTCATCAAGCTTGAGTTCAGAACCTTTTCCCTTAGGTTCGGTATTTTCTTGATCGGGGAGAAAATGGACCCCATTTCCTTCATCTAGTTTGCCTTTGTTCCCGTGTAATTCAATTATATCACTTGTAAAAAGTTGATCGGACAAATCACGGAAAAGATTGCAAATTCCGAATAGTTCTCCTTGAAACTCTTTGCAATCCTGGAAGTTTGGGTTAGTGAATTTTCCCCTTTCATAATAAAATATCACCAATGCATCATCCTACATCGGTTGTCTAGCATATGTATGTAAGATAAACCCTCACCTCTTGATTATCCCTTTTGGTGTGAGTTAGACCCACCAAACCAATTTAACTGTTATAGTAGAGCTGTACAGGGGACGTAGGTCACAAAAATGAAAAAACTGATGATTTTTTTGGTTCGCCAATCACCATAACTCGACAGGTGAAAACACAGTTATTCATTAGGAAATGGTTGTTAATATGTGTCGGACAGTTTCCTGACCAACTGAAAATTAAATAGTATTTAATAATGCATGAATGAAAATACAACTAATTAAAATACATGGAGCATTTGGTGAAGGTAGTATTAGTACATGACACCCAAGAGACTCATTGTATTTCAACTCATTTTCATAGTTAGTAGTATATAGTATATACATAATCAAGGCATTAAAATGGGTGAATTTCTTAAATATCACCAACTCTCTGTTAGACAAACGGCCAATTGTTGAAGCAATTCCCGCACATAATTGACAGTTGGTGACTGCATTAATAACATTTTTTTACGTAAAATTAAGGGTTAATTTTTTGTCCAATGGGTATCTGATATTCTAATTAGTTATGTTTAAGAGAAAATCCCTAATTTAATTTGGAGAATTTGAGAGAAAATATAAAGTTGGCCCTACTAACCTGAACGCCTTCAAAGTATCGCTTCTCATTTGTTCCAGAAATAGCAATATTAGACAGCTGTTGTTTGTAGACCTGCCTGGAATAAACAAGTTCCTCAAGAGAACCAGCAGCAAGAAGGCGAAAAACAACAACATGCCTCTTTTGCCCAAACCGAAACGATCTGTCCTGGGCCTGCAAATCTTGGGCCGGATTCCAGTTTGGATCAAATATCACTACACGATTTGCACTAACAAGGTTGAGCCCAAGGCCACCAGCTCTTGTTGATATGAGAAACACCTTAAAGTCATCAGAAGAGAACAGTGTCAATTATGGAGGTGACAGAAACTTAGTTGATTTGTGTTCTCACCATCTATGATGTTTTAAACATACCTGTTTGCTTGGGCTAGAGTTGAAGTCATCTACAAGAGATTGACGAAAGGTGGTCGGTGTGGAACCATCGAGTCGAGAAAAACAATACCCTTTGCGTATAAGAAATTTCTCAAGTATATCCAGCATCCTGCTTAAGAGGAAAAATACTACTTAAGCAACAGAAGAAATGAAGACAGATGGAGAAAAAAAAAACACGTCCACAATACAATTGACATGTTTTTGTTAGAAACAGACCAACATTTAGAAACATCTACACATAGCCTCAAGTTTCTCCTTATTTTCATAAACATTATCACTTGTTGAAAACGTTTTGCATGCTGGCGTTCCTTCAATTTGGAGAGGACACATAACAATGGTATGTTTGAGGATCATAAACTAAAAGTCTAATATGTATAGTTTCAACTTTGAAGGCCTATATTAACCAAATAGGACTTGAGGAGCCTATTTAGGAAAAGTGTGCATGCGGAGGGGCCATATATGGGTTTTACTTTTCTTGTGAATCCATTAGTGGCACTTACTTGGGCATCTAATTCTTATGAGACAGATGTGTTGTTACCAAACAAGGCACTCTAGAGTCTATAACTATTATAGTTTTTTTTCCTTTTACAAGTATGGTTAAAGGTTAAAATGAAAATGAGTGCTAGAATGGTTTTGTGACCCATTCAGCGGCTTACTACACCCCCCCCCCCCCTCATTTATTCAATGAGCTCCACCATCAAATGGAGGTTTGGAGGTAATATTGTGAAATTTGGACTTCCATTGAAAATAGCATAGTAAACACACACACACACAGAATTGTTGATTCATCCAAGAGTAGAAAGGCACATCTTACATACCTCACGGAATAACTGAAAAGAAGAATCTTGTCACCTTGTGAAATCCAAGTAAACATGAGCTTTTCCAAAGCTCTCATTTTCCCACAATGTTTGACATCACTTAGACCCATAAAGCTCTCATTCTGAGCATTTCCACCAACCAAATCAATATCAGGGCCAAACACAGCAGCAGCAAATTCTGCATCCTTTCTTTGTTTGTCAGGATCATCCCTTGGATTAGGTTTGATGAGCTCCAAGTGATTGCTTATCTGTAAGAGAGATTTAAGCTTCAGGATTTAAAAATATGAGATATAGAAATAAAGAAAATCAATCAGTTCATCATTCATGAAATGATATTTGAATAGCCTTATGCCACAGAGGGTATATTACCTCGCTCGGTTATACCTCTTTTAAATTGTTTTAGCTCTTCATTTTCTTTTACATTGTGCAGCAATAACAACAACCCATTTGATAAGGGTAAATTTGGCTGAAAATACTAAATTTGTAGATGTTATTTACAATATTGTGGATTTATATATATAAGACCTTTTTCACTTAATAAATTAACGAAAATTAAATTATATTAAGAAGTGTCATTGTCATTCATTTCAACAACTTCAACATAATAGTACCTTCTACACGATATTTTCACTATCAATAAATTCAGCCAACAGGCAATGCAATCAAAACAATTGCGGTAAGAAGATGTCTGATATGTGGAAATTAGATGTCATCAAACAGACACTAAAAAGAAGTTTGAAGTCACAGAGAAAAAAGGCAGCAATGGCAGCAGCTTTCTCCTCTAATATTAAGTTACTTACTTGTGAGTCAATTACCCATGTATAAGATTATAAACTTATTAGAACAGATGCTTCACTTGATCATAGTCGAAAGACCAATAAAGGTATAATTTAACCATAGGAAATTATGCATTTGAACCTCATGTTTACCCCCAACATTTGACTTTGCGCCTGATGTTTTACTTTCATCAACTTATCAACCCGCACCATAGAGTGGGGTGCAAACTTAACCATTACTGTAGGTATGTGGTGCAAAGTCTAATGAAAATTTGTAGACCGTGCTTACCCTTATAACTGAATTGGCATTCCAATTGAAGGTCCAAATTTTAAAAAAAACATGGGGTCAAAAGTCAAACATGGGGTGCATGGCAATTTCTCTTTAATTACTGTTGGGCCTTAAGATCAAAATGGTAATCACAATAGCAGAGAGCTAGGGAAGAAAATGGTAATCTTATACTATCTATCAACTACCAAGCAAATGATTCAAACATTTTAACAATCATTGATGTAGTTAGATAGAGCATGTCTCTTCATAGGAAGAAGACACAACCAATTGCTTAAAAAACCTTCCAGCAAATATAACAAAACTACCTGCTGGAGCTTGACAAGACAAGGAAGTACGATGCAAAAAGGGCAAGAATCACAACCATCTGGATTGTCTCTGTGAAGGTACGGCCATATAATACCATCCGAAATGGTCCTTTTGCAACACTCAGCCTGCTTGAGAGGGCTTCCACAACTACATGGCAGGTCCTTATTGATAAGACACTGTACATCAGGTAACTGCAACATCCTCTGGTAAACACGTTTTTGGATCGCACTCATTGCACAAAACACAACATTATCTTCTTTTCCTAGCATAAGATGACCAATCGTCTCCTCCTTTGTCCTTCTCAGCAAATACTTATGCAAAACCGACACCAAGTGTTGTTTTCTCTCTTCGGCAACTTGCACAAGTCTGTTAGAAGCAGTTGACCTCTGTCCATGCTTAAGTGGGTCCTCATAGAACTCTCGAAAGTGTTCACGTGTGCCCAAACAGCCGGGGACCACCCAGTCAAACAGATTGAACAGTTCCATGATTTTATTCTGCATTATAGTTCCAGTCAGACCGTAACGTTTCTTAGTTTTGATATCTAAACAAGCTTGATAGAGTTTAGACTTGTCATTCTTGAGCCGGTGTGCTTCGTCAATAATCACAACCTCCCACTTGACTTCTGACAAGACACTCCCTTGGATTCTGTATGTATCGTAACTGGTTATTATTACCTCCACTCCGTACGTTTTTAGTTTGTCGATTATCAATTCACGGTTTGGTCCATGATGAACAAAGACACTAAAAGTTGACCATTTGGAGAACTCATTCTCCCAGTTATGAATTACGGAAGTTGGACAGATGACTAGTGTGGGACCCTTCTTTTCAAGACCCCCCACTATCAATGAGGTTGAACCAATTGTATCTGCCTCTTTTCCATATACAGCTGCTAAGAAAGCAATGGTTTGGATTGTCTTCCCTAGTCCCCTAGAGAACCATGACCAGATTCACGTTAAAAACATATAAAAATAACTACCCAGAAAATAGTCTAATAATAAAGACAGGGCTACTCTAGCTGTCTATGAGTACAATTAAAACGAAGAGTGATTAGGAAACCAACATGTCATCTCCTAGAACACCCCCATGGTTATTACGGTACAAACCATACAAGAATTTGACTCCTCCTCTTTGATGCTCCAGAAGCCTACAATTTATAGATGCTGGTACCTGGAACAAAGAAAAAAGACAAAAAATAAAATGAATTGTTGCACTAGTTTAATGATGCTTGAAATTACAGTATTATGAAATGTCATACTGAAAAATAATGAATGAGGAAATTTATACAAAAAAAAAACTGATTTCTACTAGAAAAATATGGAATAGTTAAACAAAAACCAAGAGAGTTTCTTCAATTCCATTGTGTGCTAGAAACCAAAGAATTGGCTTGCGCAGCTTCTTTAAGTTAACAATAGCAAATAAAAGTAGCATCATGAATTATGCCACTTCCCACAAATTCTCCAGAACTATATATGACGAAGTCAACTGAAGCATATTCTAGGAAACTAAATATTGGTTAACTTCAAGCGATATACTACAGAAATCACAACACTAAATAACTCACAACAATTAAATCCTGGGATCATTTCAAAACTCATTGTCCCATTTGTACCATCTCCTATCAAGTATCAACTTCTTTGCCAAAAAGATTGCATGGAAGCCCAAGTATATACCTCGTGTATTCAATAATATTAAATCATCATTTGGTCAAGTAACTAGTGACGACATATGACACTTTATATGCATATAGCAAGTCTTCAAGAAGTTGATAGCTGCATGCTCAAATGAATAAAAAATGCAATATGCACCAAAATTTAAAAAAAAAAATCGGGAAAATCAATTCTTTTAACTATTAGAAGGAAAAACCACCTGTATCAATGGTGTTTCTCCAGGCGGGGACAGGACAAGAGGCTCATAAGGCCCGGTGTGGTCAAGAAGAAAAGCCTCAGACTTTGACCTCCCGAACACAGTGTGCTTCTCTTCTCCCACCTCTGCTTCCTCTTCTTTGTCATCTTTGACTCTAACCCTGGAATGGGTTGGAATTTGGGGTTTCCGTGATTGGGTCTGGGATGAAGACGCGAATGAATCATCAAGGCGAAGAAGCTGCTGTGAAATAGAAGATTTAGGTGGCTTTCTAGTGATTGCAGCGGATGAATCGAATTGAGTGCAAATGGATGAATTTTGAGAGGAATCATATGAGGATGATTTATTCCTGCACGGTTTGAGTGACTCCTTGAAGGCCTTTAAAGACATCGGAGATTTTGCGTTCTTTGAAATGAGTTTAGGTGCTTTCCGGTTTCCATTGGATTTGGCGTTTCAATTTTGAATATTTAAGAGATTTGTATGTTAACCATAGCTAAGAGTCTCTTTGCTTAAAAAAAATGTACTTTTTAAATGAAATGTGGAGTAGTAATTAATTGTAAAAGATGATAGTGATTGGAAAAAAGTGATTAAAGTAAAAAAGTTAAAATTGAAGTGTTGGTAGAAAAGTGTTTTTAGTGTATTATTTTCTTAATGCACCAAAGTATTCTTGTAAATGAAAAGTCAAAATGAGCACGAAAGATGAAGTTTCCCGCATGCAAGTCTGCAAGAAGCCAACCCCCCTGCACCTTATCTTTTCTCTGCCATACATTTGCCTATGGTCTCTGGTTTTTACCATCGGGACTCATGTATAATACTTACACCGGAGTATATGAGTAATTGAAAAATGGATCTGGCGGTGACCAAGAAGCCAACCCGGCTTAGCGGTCTTCATTTTGAAAGGGGAACAATTCCGGCAGGTTTGTGAGGCTTTGCGGGTAGCGAAGAAATCCTGAAGCCAGACACAAAGAAATCCCTAGATCTTCAATTTTTAGTGTGAAACGATGACTTCCAACTTCCTTAGGGGCGTAGCAAAGGCGCAAATAAGAAAAGACACGAAGGATTAGAAAATTAGGAGTGACCAGAAATTTCATTCGTTGATGGCCTGATCGGGATTTATCTGATGCGTTCATGAGTGATTTGCCGGAGGGGAAGGGCATTAACGGGACACACACGCATTTTAAAAATATATTGTTCCCTCAAGTTGAAGTTATTTACCAAATCACCAAGAATCATATAAAAGCATATCCAATACTACTTCTGACTTTTGAGGTAAAAGTGCTTAAAATTAAGGAGAAGTTCAGTTTGGCAAACACCTGTTTTGGCTTCTGCTTCCAAAAAAGCCCAAAAGTGCTTTTCAGAAGCAGTTGCAAACAAAGCTTAAGTCAGCAATCTAGCATTCATGCTTTTGACTTTGTGTTACAAAATTTGGTTATTTTTGGTGTACACGAGATTGTACACAGAATATGTAGTTATGTGCATTCCATGTGTACACAAACAAGGCAATTATGAGGATTTTGACATCAAGTCCAGCCCTTTTTTAAACAAATTGTATGTGCACACGGGTAATTAGAAGGATTTTGTGTACAATTTCTGTACAACTCATGTACACCAATAATTTTCCTATAAAATTTATCAAATGAGCTCGGTGAGATGCCATGGTGTTTAGAGCCTTGGGGGTGTGAGTCGGCTGGTAAAATAAGGCTTCTATGTTTCCATGCTTCCCGGGCTTTGACTACGTCATTACAGACCCGCTTCGTCTACACGGCATTGTACACGCCGATCAAATTGTAACACAGACAATTTGATCGGTGTGTACAATGGCGTGTATAACCTGCCGTGTACAAGGAGCATTTTCCATGCCATTAGCACTAGGCACTAGCCACTATAACAGTATCACCCTCCAACAAGTCCATGGGAGATGGTGCCCTCCAGCGAATTCATTGCCTCGGACGAGCCCGTGCAGACCTCCCGCGATAATTGATAAGAAAATGACATAATAATAACATTTGTATATACAAAGGTAGAGAGAGCTTGAAGGGGAGAAAGAGGACGACTAGATGTAGAAACTTAGATTTGACCAACAATTTGCTTCCTGATGTGTTTAGTTCAGACGTAAATATGGTTCAACTTTAGTGTAATGAGAGTTCAATAATTCAATTCGTATGTAAATGAATGTTGTTTACGTACTCAAGTGTAAATTTTTTAATCGCAAATTAGACTTCAAACTTTTTTAAAAGCGCCATCATTGAACTTGAACAATATATTTTTAGAGCATTTTATGTCAATCAATTATTATCGCTTTGAACAATACGTATATTTTTAGAGCCAAACATTCAATTTCAATTGTTGAAGCCTTTGTAGTTTGTACTTGTAACTTCTTTTAATTTTGCACTTGTTTGGCTTGTTTTCTATTTACTTCTCTTGTAATTTCAATCTGTTATTTAATAAAATTGAGAAGTGTTCCCCGGCACACCCCACCTCGTGCGGTTGCTCCGGGAATTAAAAAAAAAAAAAAGGAGCAAAACATTCAAAATGAAAAAAAAAACTCTTAAAAGCACCATAGTAACCTTGTCATGTAATGATTTAACTCATTTAAGTATCCAGATCATGCCGATATAATAATACAGAAAATGTAGCTGTTTTCAAAATATTGATGCAGCGGCCTCCTAACAGAAAAGATACGTATACGATGTATCCACTAACTGGTTCGTGTACGTTGTGGAATCAACAAAATTGCACTCCCACTCATCCCTAACTATGACACATGGTACCTTCTAAGCTTTTCCATTAAAGACTGCCAACAATTCCACTGTCAGATACATGGTATACAACTATAATACAGGAAGTATAGTTGGCTCTTACACCACTGAAGATTTCAAACAAATACAAAGAATACAATCAGACATTTTGCACAAAGTTCAAAAATTTCACCTAAATAAAACATTTATGGCGACCATCACCGTGAACTCTAGCAAGCCTACACGAGTGTTCGACAATCAGCTGATATGTTGATCGCCTCTCCCAAGGAACAAACCCAAATTCATCATTATAGTCTTGCATTCCTTCAACAATGAACTGCCAGAAAAGAGAACCTGCACCAGCTTTGTTTCGTTTTGCAGACTTGTATATGATGTTAAGAACAACCTTGTAGAACCTATCTCGTTGAGATGGTTCAAAATTCTTGCTCATAGTCGACAGTCCAAATTCGGTGAACATGACAGGTTTCTTCAGTTCCTTTTCACAATCTTCAATGTGAGAGAGTACCCATTTGCTCACGAATTCCAATTTTTCTTCAAAGCTTTGATTCTTTACCCTAGCATTGGATTCAAACATTCTTTATAACAATGGAGAATGACAAAGACACAAAGTTAATAAAAGTTCTGTTCAAGTAGGTTGTAGATAGTCCCCAAAGCGACGATCCATAATTTTATGCGTGGTTTTGTATTTTAACTTAACAAACAAATAACATTATTTTTTGTTCTCATATGCAGGTATAAAAATGATAAAATAAAAGTGGCCTTAGTCTCTTAAGGATTATTGAGGTATCTTAATAGCTCAACATTGCAAGACAGGGAAATTATGAGCTGGAAGTCAATAATAAGCTCACCAATGGTCGGGGTAGATATGAACAGAGGCAAAATCCACAGATGGGAGCTTATTATTGCGGATGAAGTCTGTTCCAAGATATGACGACATGTAATTAGGATTGACTGTCATCTTTTTGTGACTTTTCGGACCATAAAATCCTTCAAGGCCCACAGTCAGCAAGTGATTCATGTCTATTGACTTTATATAGCTTGACATTTCTCCAACCCATTCCTGCAATTCTATGACATACAGTTAAGAAAACATAGTTGGAAAAGGAAATACATATTGGAAAAATGCATTGCAAAAGAAAATGTATATCCTACTAAATAGCTAACCGAAGAAGATACAATAAATACTAGTAAGAACCTATGTTGTGATAAGTTTCGGTTTACAGGCCAGTGGGTGGCTGAAAGGATGAATTTCCCTTGCCTACGGTGTTACCGTGTTAGACTACAGATTCATGCAGGGAATACTCAATTTACTAAATTCCATCTTGACTAACTATTACAATATGTTTTCCTTTAGAAGGGATTAATACAATTGCAATGTGATGAGAAAACTTATACAATCTATCAAATACAAGAAATTACGAAATACTCCAAAATGTGATAAACATGGAATCTAAATAAAACTTTCCAACGCAATGAAATGTAACGATGCAGTCAAATATGAGAGAGCAGAATCTGAAACTTGTATGCCATTTAGCTGACCATCCACTCTTGGACTTGTTTTATCATATACTTCGTATTTATTTGGAGGGTATTATAGTTGGTTTGGAGTTCCATCCTAAAAGGTCAAGCTAAAGTATATTGTAATGACTTAACATGTCCCGCAAGTTCAAGACTTGACGGGACAATCCAAATACTTGGATTGATTGTTTATTTGATCTTAATTGAATGATTGAATCTAATACAATATTAAGATTTATGATTTCATCCTAATATTCAACCTAATATAAAGAATAGTAAAAGGTCTTATACATGGTGTGGTATGAGCCGTATGGCTTAACGGAGTAAGGGAGAATATGGATAGGTCAGATATGAGCAGAGAGATATTTAAGCAGCAAAAAGGAGCCGATCTGTCATCCACAAGTAACTGGAATGGAAAATCTGAATATTACTGCACCATCCAATGTTTCCATTCCACGGCTGGCTTTTAAAGTGACAAGAGTTGGAAAGATAGCTAGGCTTTTTATGCTAATAACCCTGGCACACTTACCACTATTTTACTTATTCACTATTCCTAAAGGCTTATATCATCGATTGCTGTGGCTATGAAGAACTGATAAAAGACTAAATGGTTCAAAACGTACTTGGAGGGTGTCACCTGAAGGATCTGTCAGGCACCTAGGTTCATTAATCAATTCCCACGCAAAAATAGTGGGATCATCCCTGTATTCAACACCTGTAACTGTGTTCTTCCTTGTTAATACCGTCTGCAAAAGAAAAAAGTGACATATTGAATCAACGGATTTTATTTTCCGCATCTCTATTAAGGAGGTAACAAAAACAGTTATCATAAAAGGTTCATAATCTAGAATTTAAATTATAAGACGTAAGGTATACCGTCCAAATGAAAAGTCAAATCCCATAAAATAAAATAGGATTCCAACTTTGGTCCCACAACTTGCCATTTTCAGTTTTGATCTCTTGGCTTCATATTTTCTACTTTTGGTACACAACTATAGATATCTTACCACATTCAATCTTTCTAGTCTCCTACCCGGAGAAAATCCAAATGGAAATTATACATGAATTGGCAGGTTAAGGATTGGAAGAACCAAAATGGCAAGAGATGTGTAGTCATGCATCACAAGTGGAAAACATAATTGTTGGGACCAAAAGTGAAAATAACCTAAAGGTCATAAGATTAAACGTAGAAGATTTTCAAG